AAGTAAAGTAAAGTAAGTAAAGTAAGTAAGTAAGTAAGTAAGTAAGTAAGTAAGTAAGTAAGTAAGTAAGTAAGTAAGTAAGTAAGTAAGTAAAGTAAGTAAGTAAGTAAGCAAGCAAGCAAGCAAGCAAGCAAGTAAGTAAGTAAGTAAGTAAGTAACAAAAAAGGACCCTATGACACTTCATCGGTGCGTCTTCTCCAATCATTCCTGACGTTTGCTGCCTTTTGGTCTGGATGCTTAGAGTTGGCATAGAATCCACCGCCCATCCGTCTGCACCCAGCGAAAGCGATTGCCTGCATGCCGACAAATTCACCAGATTGTCTTTCGATCTCGGCGTGTGTTCCAAGCCGCACCTACGCATGAGAGGAGTACTGGATGATGAATCGGCTGCTGTAGTCCCACACCAAGACCGGCGAATCTTCAACAGCATCGGCAAGCCTCAGGAACCAAAACGACCGACATATGCAGTGCATCGCACAGGTCAGGCAAGCAGCCAGTCTTCGAGCTCGACGGACTGGACGACTCCGCAGAGCCTAAACAGTCATCTCTGTCAGGTAGGTGTTTGTGCAGCATGCCCGGCTTGACAACCAAAGCTTCAGCCTCTGGGGACGAGACGACACTCTGATGCCAAAAGAGCACGTGCCAGGCATCGTTCACGATCCTTTGGGGAATGCTTGAAGTAGACGCTCGGGGGCAAGCGAAAACATACAAGTGGGCACATGCTGCAAAGCAAGCCCAAGCATGCACTTGCTGAGAATAGTGTTGTTTTGTTGCTCCTGGGCAGCAGTGTCAGCGGGCCATCCCCAGTCCCCATGCTGTGCAGGGATGGCCGGGAAGGTTCGAGCCTTGCGGACACGTGTTGCGGACACGTGTTGCGACCACGTGCTGTGCTTGGCTTACACCTCTCGGTGTGCGGCCACGTCCAATTGAATTTGGTGCATCACTGCCTCAGGCACCGCACCGGCCTCGCCAAGAGCAAGAGCACGGAAAAAAGATATCGGGCGTGGCATGCGTGGCCACCTGTCGGCTACAGGTTCCCACTGGCGCCTCGGCTTGAGAGAGATTTGGCATCAGTTCGTAAACACAAGCCTCGAAAATCAGGGACACAACTTCGATGCTCCAATCCAGGCGCTTTGCACTGCTTGCATTTATCTCACCTGGTGTGAGGCCTGCTTGGGGCTCGAGAAGAGGCGTGGGCTCGGGATGCATGTCCAAGACTTTCAGACATCGTAGATCATTGCAGGCAGGGTTGTGCTATGGTTGGTTTCATTTCGTGGTCTTCGTCTAGGTGTCTAGCTTGCCTTGTGAAGGTAAGTAGAGGCAGATGTGAAGCCGAATCGAAGCAAGGAGGCACCTGCCCACATGGCTCTCACATCAGAGGGAGCCCAGCGCCACATGTAAGTACTGCGCTGGTGTCCTTTCTGCCTAGGGCAAGCCCTGCAGCCAAGCCGCTCGGACACGAGCACGGAATCCCCGCGAGCTACGCCCATGGAGCTGCCTTGCAGGACCTGGCGCCTGAGCGTGCAATGCATTGAAAAGCCTTTCTCCAGAGTTCCCTGTCTCAGCGAGTAGGCGCCTGGGTGGTGCCCTGCTGCACTCGCTCTCTGGGGTGAGCATGGCGGGCACCCATAGTTTAGGATTGCGGACAATTTGGTGGTGTCTTGCCTTACTTGGGTCTCGTGTCAACTGTATTTGCAAGTCTCTTGGCAATATTGTACCTGATGAGCCGACGCTTCGGAAATGACTCTGTATGATTGAAGCTTACTGAGTTGCAGCCAGCTCAGTGCTTGTAGCAGGTTTCAGTGCTGCCAACCTGAAGAGGTGGTCGGAAAGCAAGGACAAGGGAGCAGATGCACTGCGATGACATGGTTGTCCAGAAGCTCTCCACGCAAAAATATCGCCTTCGAAGAAGCAGCATCACGTGAAGCATGGACGCCATGTGACTGGAAGGGCTGACCGTGCTCCGTGAGCTTGAGAAACGCAAGGAGTCATTGCTTTGTTCGAAGACGTGCTGTCCAACACCCCGTGATCGAAAACGATCGTCGCACCACACGACATCGAGAGTCTGAGAGGGTCGCGTCGCTGTGTTTGCTTGTCCACCCGTAGAGAAAACACTACACTCGGCTACAGCTGAAGCCTTTTCCGCTTCCTTCCTCGATCACCTGGTCTGAGTTTTCGTGGCGATGCGCTCTTTCTCCTCGCGCTCCTGATACAAGAAATCTGATACCGGTGCATGATGGGGTTAATCACAGTGTGCCAACACATCCGATGTCATCCTCTTTTAGCAGCTTTTCTTTCCTGCTCGCTTCGTCGATCATGTGGCTGATGCCTGACGTGCCACGTGCAAGTCTGCGAAAAGAAACAAAGCAAGCAATGTCCGAGGTCCTAGCCTTTTGCATCAACATCGCAGATCCTCGCCTGCCGGCCGATGGCTCACAGCAGCTAAGGCGGCCAAGGGGAAAGCAGGCCTTCTCCGAGCAGAACTCCGTGGCCACGATATCCTCCTCGAACCTTCGGAGGCTGCGCTGTGATGTGCTGTGCCTCCAAGTCTTTCCCAAAGTGCCCTGAGTGCCAGGACTCATCGGATGCCTCATCCCAGCGCAGTTTCACCTTGGAAGAAGGTAGTTGCAGGCTGCATGGTCGAGGGGTTGGATGATGAGCCTCTTTTCTGATGAGGTCAGCATGGTCTTGCATAAAGAGACTGCAAGCTTCCTCGCAGTCAGGCAGGCGAGGAGAGACAGTGATGGCAGTAACAGCAGTGAAACGGCAGTGCTGTCCATGCCGCTGCCACTTGGATGGCTCGGATCCTCAAGGCCATAGCGCCGTTGCAGCTTCGTCGCCGCGTACAACAAGCGATGGCAAGCGTGATCAAACACGCGCCTCGCACGAAATCGATAGTCTCTGATCCAGAACCTGTGGGCACCGATCACAACATAATCACTCTCACGAAGAAATGTGCAGAAAGGGCACGAGGTAGTTGAGGCACTGACTGCATCGGGCCAGATCTTGCGGGTTTCAGTGAGAAACTTCACATCTCTTGATAACCTGCTTGCCACAAGCAACGCTGTGGGAAAAATGCTGCGCCGTGCCCTAACCTGTTCATCACGATGCGGCAGGCATCACAAGCCAACATCCTTGGTGTTCCGCAGTCACGAATTCCTGGCAAGCCGACCCTGTGCCTGTAAGCTTTGGAATCCTTTGGAAGCGCCTCGATGCAGATCGCTCCCGAAGAAGCAAGCAGAGGAGACTCTAGGAGGGCACATTGGAATTGGCAGCTGCCACAGCAACAAGCGCCGCCAGAATTTGAAGGCGCGTGACGAGAGCCATGTGCAAAATCGTCCAAGGCTCTAGGACTCTAGGATCACGCTGATACCCTGTACTCCACAACTCGGTACCTAGCTGATCTTCGCAAGTGCACTACGACATGCGGCGGTCCGCTATGCAGCCCTTGTCCTAGCGTCATTGGATGCTTGAAGTACATGGGGTTACTGACGAGTTGGCATGTTGGTATTGCTTTTCTAATGCACCGGATCCGTCAGCAGCGGTAAAGCGACAACCATCTGCCACAGGTGCAAACGTTCTCCCCCAGTCTTGGAAGAAGACCACAGCGAAGATGAAGCTAAATCTTCTGAAAGAGTTTGGGAGGGCTGTCGTAGGTAAGAAGAGACATGCAGCCGCAGTGATGCAAGCATCCGAGCAAGCATGACTCGAGACAAAACTGATGAATGGTGCAGCAAAGTCCTGAGCCCGCGTCAGTGCCGTGATTTCTGAGCTCGTAGATGTAGAATAAGCGAAAATATCCGGAAATCGGAGCACAACAGCTTCAACTCCAAGAACGACAGAGTTCGTAACAGCAGCAGTTCAGTTCTGGGGTCTGTGTGTGTACCATGAGACTCGCACAATGCTCTGTAATTCCCGATATTATGTCGGAGGATGTCCAGTACAAGGTCGCATATAAATGGCAGACGTGGCATTCTGCCCATCCCGGTGTTGCACCCGCAGACATTTGCAGGAAGCCCCCGTGCCGAGTGGCCCTCCTTAGAATAGCATTCCGAGAGTTTATGCTGCAGTAAACATGGAATCAACCGTGGTATTGCTGAACACGCCATGCTCTGCAACAGGCAATGGAATCCTACAAATAATTCAAAGCCAGCAACATGCCAGGACTACTCAACCTTATGGCAACGATGAGCATGAAGCTACTGACCTCTGAGTATCTCAACGGGAACCCGAAACGGAACCACCCGGTTCGATTGTGCCATTGTACCAGACACCCAGATACTTCTTGGTCATGGAATATGCCTAGAATAGGCCTACGTGCCCAAGCATTTGCAGGTCCACAGTCTCATGTTATTCGGGGTTTGCTTTCGGAACCACCAGGTGCGGTTTCGCGAAGGGAATCGGTTCAGTGAGGTGCACTCGTCACGGCTTAGAAGTGGAAGATGCGAGAGAATCGATGTGGATATTCTTGGAGACAGCAGGACTGTGCTGCCTGCCCACTCAGGTCTGGATCTGGGACCATTATGTGTTAATGTGCCTCACAGCGTTCATAAGAGCAACCGTTTATGGTGACGGTAAACACAGAATCCGACAACGGACATCCCTGGCTCCTCGTGCGAAGGTTTGGACCTGGCCCTGGCGCTATTCCGATCCTGTACCGGGCAAGTACAGCCGGAATAAATTAAATAAATGGCATGAGCAACGAGGAGATACTTTACATGACATGTGGCAATGGTCAGAGCAAATAGGCGTCTCTCAAGATGTCGCTGTCGTCAGGGAGGGTGGGAGAATTGTGTGGGAACTGGGTTTGTGCGGAGTAGGAAAAGGTAGCGGAATTGCGCTTGCAATATCAATGTGTTGTAGCCGGCTTGGGGGGAGGAGCAGTGACTCGATCAAATTAACGGTGACCGAACCGTGGATGTCAATGACCAGTGTCCAGATGTGTTGGGATCTAGCGGCTTTGATACTGTACAAAGAATCACTGGGGTCTTGACATGATCAAGGCAGGGAAAAACAGTTTTTGTGGATTGGGTTGGGTCCGCCCCCGCAGGGCGGTGACACGAGGAGGTAAGGTTTAACTGCGAGGCTACATACTTTCGGAGCTGCATGCTCCGCTGTCTGTTTCTGCAATCGTGCCACATGCCTAGATTAACATGTCAAACATAAACTGAGAAATCGCCGGGTCGGAGTATATTGAGGAGGCACTGTGCATTGCAGATGTTTGCAACACGATTTCGGCAAACTGTTCTGCCCGGAGCATTCGCCTGTTTTCTCGCTTCAATCCTGCCCGCAAGCTCAGTACCCTCTTGATGACACAACGTCTGTATTCATGCCGGTATCGAGGTGGAAAACATTCGAACGAATCACCTACTCACCGGCGGCATGTGGCAGCTTGCATCATACGGTGCTTCTTGGCTAATCCTCCAGCATGATAAGGCATGGCCCGGCATTTTCGCCCAGGTTGTTGAGCAGAGTGTCGCGGAATTCAGCGGTGCATGACACCTGGTCGCATGACAACAACAACAACCACCACAGGTCCACCGGGGTCCACCGGCGTCCACCGGGCCGAACTTTGCAGCTCGGATTCCTCCGTTTCCTTGTGGCGAAACCAATCATCGACAGCACGGTGGAATCCACTCGACTTCGTTTTCAACTCGAGGATCCCCAGCTGCCGAACGATGCAATCTTCGGACAAGAGCTGCATGAGCTGTCAAGGAGTGCGAGGCACTTCAAGCCTTGACCAAAAAAAAGTTCAGATGTCACACGGCAGAGAGCGAACAACACAACTTAAGAGCTTCTGGGAGATCTAGGTGCCGGTCCGGCGAGATGTTGCCATGCCTTGACAGTATCTTCGTTGGGCATTGATTGGTTCTCAGATCGCCCTTGCTTCTGCGTGCCCAGGCTACATGTGTACTGAAATGGCTTGGTGTAAACTGAAACGGGCCCCTGTTAAAACCCCGTGAGAGGGCCCCGCGACCCGCTCCCCCAACACGGGTTTCTGCCTCCGAGAAGTCGCCCCACATCCTATACGGACCCAGAGCCGGCTCTGTTTGCCAGGAGACCCTGAAGTTTAGAACCCCCACCCGCCCTTCCTTCTCCCTCGGAGGCCTGCGCAAGCAGAATGGCTAAACGGGCAGAGCAGAGCATCTCGCACGGTGGCCATGCAGCCCCAGATGAACTGAATAAAACGGGTCCAGAAACTCCATGTCGTCCTACTGGAATATCGGGAATTGGAAAGCTGACCGCTCGGTGCGGCGGATCGCTTCAGATTGTCAAAGACAACGACAGCAACGACAGGTAAGAGTAAGTGCGCGAAATAGATCACCCCCGACATATCCTAAGAACACACAAGCGTGCCGAAGACACTACAAACGCCAAATCCAAATCGTCATGATGTCGTTTTTGTCGTCACACATTCTAAATTCTCGCACTCACACATGAGAATTTGCAGCAGAATCCTCCAACAAAGCCCGGGCCAGTACTCGATGCCATAAAGAATCAGTCGTTGCCATGAATCCCGGTAGCAATCCCAACCGCTGCAGACCCTTCTTACAAAGGCTGACTTCCTCGGAAAGCCTCTGCATCCCACTTCTTACTCTGAACTGTTGCAACGGCTTTTTCGAGCTGCGAGAGGCGCACGAGAGTGGCTCTGGAGGCCCCGAGCTCATGGCCACCACGGCGGCTACGGTGGCCTACGTCCTGAGATCAGTCGCAGCGACTGCGAGGCTCTGCGGGGCTCGAAAAAGCTGCCACCAAGTGTCTCTGGTCTCAGCCTTCCCTCTACCAGCTCTCGAAACGTATTCACCTGAGCATCTCGTCATGCCATCAGTGCAACAATTATCCCAGACTCTACCCAAACCCAAACTGTGCTCAATGCCAGGTGTAAGCCGATGTCTTCGGCAACACCCTCGATGCCACATGAAACGACAAGCTCGCAACTTGGCCCTTGCAGTCCGCGCCTTGTCATACGCTTTCACTGTGACTCGGAGCTCAAGGCTAGAGTCCCTGACAGTTCTCGGACCCTGAGGCGACTTTCAACAGGAGCAGACAAGTCCAGCCTCACCATGGCCGCGCACATACAAATAATCTTTGCATTCGGTGGCGGCTGACCCTGCAAGTGCGGGCACTGGGCGAGCTCTAGCGAACGACACAGTCCGTCCTCTGCGTCAGACGTGGGCATGCAGGCTCCCACAAGAATAAACTTTAGATCCTTCAGGATCAGATCTCGCGCAGAACAGGGTTCAAGAAAATTCACACACAAGTCCGTAATCGTTGTCCTTGCTGTGCGCAGGAACCGGTTGCTGAATGCCGGCAAGGTGGCAAAGGCCAGCACACCTCGCCGCTTAAAGGCATTGCGGTTAGCCATTGCTGCAATGCTTCGTGCACCTGCCAACCAGAGCAGACAAGTCCAACGAAGAAGCAGAATCGAAGGTTATGGCCTGATCCGTGCTTCTGGCTGGATAACCCTACTGCCAGAAACAAAACTTTGTCGCCTGAACTGCTTTGTGACTCAATAGCTCTGCGGCATGTTGGGACATGTACTCGGACACATCATCCTGGCACACAAGCTCCACTGTTGTCGGGATGCCGCAGAGTTCGCAGATGTAACCGCAATTCCGACAAGCAGGGCACTGGCTGTCCTCTGTGAGTTGCTGAGGAGTGAGGACTGGCAGGCCAATGCCAGTACCAAATCTCTGCACCACGGAACCCTGAGATGGAGAACGCACCAAGACGTCGGCAAGTTGTGGCAGGTAGCTGCAACCTGACCGAGACTGTCACGGAGCCTGGAGATGAAACTTGAAACTCGCATGAGGCCCTGTCTCGAAGGGCTCGACCTGCTTTTCCATCGATCCAACGCCTCAAAGGTTTTGATGGAGCAGCTCGGTCTATCAGACCGCATGCGTACTGTGCTACGGTCGCGACTCTCAGATGCCAAGGCATACTCCACTTCACATCGCAAGGTGATGACCTCAAGAAACAGCACAGGCACCCAGACGCAGTGTGTCAGCTTCTGTGTTGCTATCTGAACTGTTATCCGTCGGGGCTGTCTAGTGTTCCAAACCCACTGCCCCACCCAGTCTTACCGAAGCCAGAACCGAAAGACACGCTCCATCTCTGACCAGACAGGGAGCA